AAATTTTCTTTCTTTTTACTACTTTAAAAAGTCATTTTACTATTTATTCTTGATTTCTGCTTTCTCTTTTTTAAATAATTGCTCATCTGCAAGAGAATTATCATTTATTCCACAACTGTTAAAAACTTTTTAACAGCTGTGCATCTGGATTTTTGTCACAGCCACTTCACATGCACAATGCTTTTTGGAAAAGTTTTATCAAACGTTTGTTCATCTCTAAAAAAAAATCTGCAAGTAAATAATGTAGGACTAAACTTTGAAGAAGATATGGTGCTTTGTCCTCAAGGTTTATTCTTCAGTTTGCTTGACAATTTTATTTTATAATCTATATTTTGCTTCCTAGCTGTGCTGCTTTCCGTTGTATGTGCTGGAACAGGACACTAACTGAATGAGGATTAAGGATTTTTGAAATCCTTAAGTTCAGCTGTAGTAAGACAACACAATGTGAAGATACTGTCTGTAAAGATTTAAAAAAATATTTCACTCTAGAATAAAATGTAAATTAATACTGTTATATACCTTTCTGGCTGTGGATGTCCTTTTTTATTACAATTTTGTTCTTTAAATAAATGAAATCCTACAAACAATGGAAGATATCTACAGAAACTATTTGTCCTTGCTGTTATCTCTAAGCTACTCTTTTGGTTTAGAAATTCATCCATTCTTCTCCTTTATTTTTTTATACCTATGAGGAAACATGACTAAGTAGAACAGAGGTCTCCAAACTTGGCAGCTTTAAGACTTGTGGACCAACTCCCAGAATTCCAACTGAGGAATTCTGGAAATTTAAATTCACAAGTCTTAAAGTTGCCAAGTTTGGGGACATCTGAAGTAGAATGTGGGGGAAATACAGTATATGTCGGCAGTCACTGTGTTATTTTTTTTAAATGACTTTAATTGAGTATCTCTCCACTATTTATGAATAGGTTCACTTAACTCTACAATATACCTATAGCCAGTCAATACCTATCTGTGTCTACAGCAAATTGGTTCCTAACCCTGTTTTCAGGTTAAAGTCTTTCTAGGCTAGGCTGCTGAACCTCCACTCCAACCCCCACCTTCTAAATCCCACTCTAAGGGAAGAGAATATATGTAGCTCAGGGTTGAGCTGTTGGTACATTAAAAACATCTCAGAAACCACCAACTGATTATTACAACCACGTGGCTTCACAACAGCATACAAACCAACTAAAGCCCTGCCAACTCAGGCAAACAAGCTAATTAGTAAACAACAGGAACCACCAAGAACACTCCCACTAACAGTGACAGGTATACTATGGAAAAGGAGAGCAAACCTCACTCCCTTCTAGCACTGATGATGTTGCCTAGTTGAGTAAATGAAAGATCTGCAAGACAACAACCAAGCTCAGGGAGCACCAAGGATTCCACAGACACTTTTTTCCTAAGTTTCCTACTACTCTTAGAATATAACATAGGAAGATTTGTGTAATCCTCTGCCCTGATTGGCAGTTCCATCATCCAATTATTACACTACCCAATGTATATAAATTCTTAATAGCTGATAATTAACTACTGAAATATCTGCCTTTAAAAAAATTCTCATACAGTTCCCAAGAAAGCCCTTCCTGGCCAATCTACATAGGAGTTTTAATAGGCACTCTACTGCATCTATTGCCAGACTCTTCAAATGTGACAGCTTTAAGACTTGTGGACTTCAACTCCCAGAATGCCTCCTCCAGTCATGTTAGCGCTGGAATTCTGGGAGTTGAAGTCCACAAGTCTTGTCAAGTTTGAAGACCCTTGACCTATTGCATATAATTTCCAGCATTTTTTGGTTTTTGTCAGCCTTTCCAAAGTCTGGTGACCTCAAAATTCACTGCAACTACAACTTCTAGAAATCTCCAAGACTGGCCATTTTGGAAACTGGACTAAAAAAACTATTTTGAATACAACAAAGGCATTTTCCCATTTTCGCTGGGCTTCGAACTTTTTTGTTATTGAGTTACCGCAGCTAAAATGGCTGATTCATCCCAAATGCAAGCGTTTATTCTGGAATAGGATTAATTCCTTGAATTTTGCTATTCCCAGGCTGCTAGAATGGTAAAGCCAGGTGTGGTTTTGCATATCTAGAACTACTTCTCTTTGCAGAGCAATTCTGCAGAATACTGTTTCTCTTTTTTGATTTTCAGTAGGTAGGCTTTCAAAGTTTATTTTGGATCAGATGATATTGAAAATATATATAATATCTTGACAAGAATCTATTTGTGTCAAGAATGAGGATGAGAAGGGATTAAGAAAATAAAATTAGAAAAATAGGCAGGACTGGCTCGTCCCCAAAGAAGAATCATTTAATAAAAGCCCACAAACTTCCTGTCTCTTTATTTAGCAATCTACACAGCTTGTGCCAAACCAGATCCTACCTGCAGTTTCTCAGAAAATTCAATTAATTCCACTTGGCTGGAGGGAAGGAAAATCAACAGCTGTATATTTTAAAAGTGTCTTCTTTAAATAGTAATTTATACATTAGATTTTTTTCTACCTGTTTGCTGTTCAAGTGTGATGAATATCAACTTTCATCTTCCTCCCAAGTATGCTATTGGTCCAGAAAATGTCTGCTTGCCTCCAGTTCTCATCAATACCAACCAGCATGGAATTTGTAGCCCAACATGTTTGAAGGCTATTACACTGGGAATCTATTATGTATATATATTAGATATTGAGGTTAACTGAAGTCAAAGTTTGGAGACAAACTCCAAAGAGAGGTATTATCTCAATATTATACTCTTGCCAGTTACTATAGAATCTGCATTTACCAAAAAAACAGAAAGTAATTGTTGCTTGGTTGCATTAAAAAAAAATCTGGGAATGGTTACTTGAGATCTTGAAGTTAATAGGATATTTTTAAACCAATATTAATAATTCCTCCCTTCTTTTTCTCAATAAGTCATGTAGCATGCTGGATGTTGTACACCAAAACATTCTAGTATATTTATAAAACTATTGGTTTTATTTGTTATTGGTTGAACTAAAAAGAGTTATAAACAGATCTGGTCAGTCATGACCTGACAAAAGAGATAAGAATTTAATGACCTACATTTAAACAAGATTTAAATCTTGAATAGTATTATTTTGTTAGTGATAGCAAAGATACCTGGGTTGACCATAATGCATACAACTAAATGCAATCATCTGTAATAGGACAATACCTTGATTATGGAACAAAAGAGGGTTAAAAATCACAAGATCCTTTGAGGGGAATGAAATGAATGTCAACTGGAACAGGCAGAGACCTTGCAGCTTTTTGTAGCCTCTCCAAAACTGTTAACTGAGACAATCGCATCCCATGAAAAAGCATTCAACTCACAAAGCTTGTGACAATAAATCCGTTGCCCATTAAAGTACCCTTGGTACTAGAAGAATCCTATGAAAAAGCAGAGGAAATATTGGCAGCTCCATTGGAAGACAGGAAGAAGTTCTATCTCCATTATTAATTTCTATGCTGTTAACAGTACAAAGCTAGGACAGGAATATGTGCAAAGATGAAACAAACCATAGCTTCCTTTTATTTTAGGCCTGCAAAATCTGTAATTTAATGAGTTAAACTCATCCATCAAGTGATGTATTGGTGATAAACTATTAACCTCTGACAACAATAAAATTATTATTAGCACTAGATTTATACTAAGATATTCAAATATTTTCATATGTATATGATATAAATAAAACAGAAACTAACATACAAAGTAGGAAACACATATAGATGCAAATAAGCAGGAGAAAAGGGGAATACAGGAGTAAATTACTATACCTAGTCATATAAATGGAAGCACTATGATGGTATCTTGCTTTGCTTCCTATTCTTCCTTGAAAAAAATTAAGTGAAGGTTAAGGTCTTACACGGTTTTCTTGAATTTCTTGATAGCCATGTGGAAGTGGTTTGCCCACTGTCCTCTTCCATTTTTGTTTAAAATTCTCAGCCTAGCTTGCACCTTTGGGGTTTCCCACTGAAATGCCAACCAGGCCTGGTCCTGCTTAGCTTCAGACTGCAGATAAGTCCAGTAGATACTGTTTGCTTATAAGCACTTACTTAGGAAAGCTATTTGTTTATTGGATAAATCAAGGGATGGCTCCGCTTTAATAATTTTATTTTGTCTTAACGCCAATAATCTATTAGTGCCTATCCCCGCAATATCTTAAATACACTGACAATAATGAAAACAGCAATTCCTCTTCGCAAACGATAGGCAATTTAAAATAATCGTTTAGGACCCGACCGACTGTCTCACCACTGCCAATTAAAAGGCACTGGTGGTTCCTCTGAACAGAATATCCGAATTAGAAGGGACCTTGGAGGTCTTCTAGTCAAACCTCCTGCTCAAGCAGCAGATCCGGCCTATATCATTTCGCAAAAATGATCATCAAATCTCTTTTAAGACAGAACCAATCCAATGCACGTTGAATAAGACGTCTGCAAGGAATAAATTCATCCGACCGATTTACTGAGAAACAACATTTCATTGATCACAAATACAGGTTATTCACCCCAGCATCATTTTAAAACCAACGTTTGTTCATACAATCGGAATTTATATAAATAGAAATTTGTACAGATCCAAATCTATCACGACCCAATCTTAGCTTTGGAGATAAATGAACAGGTTATCTTCTTATCAAAACACAGAGGACTGCGACATCGTAATCTACTCGGTCCTAAGTAGTCTGAGGTTGGGGAAATACAACTTTACGCAAAGCCCTCGAGGTTCGCAGCCACTTCGGATCGATCCGGCCACCTACCTACCCGGCGCGCCGCGGCTCTCCCGCTTCCAACCTCGGCGCGTTCCTTTGGGCAGCGGCCGAGAGCTGCCCGCTGGCCAATCACGGGACCCCGCCTCGCCCCAGCGCGTCCTGCCTCTGAACCGCAAGGACTTCCCCTCCTTCGGTTCTATTCCCAAATCGGGGGCGGGGAGGGGAGAAACCGAATTGGGGAGCCAATCGCAAGCGAGAGCTGCACCTCTCCGTAGCCACCCACCCGCCTTTCCTGCTCTCCCATCGAAGCGGTGGGCGCTGAGCGGCGTCGCCAGGCGGAGGCCGCCTTTGCTTCAGCTGTTGCCCGGGGAGGGGTCAACCCAGCGGCAAGGCTGCCCTGCCAGCTCTGGTGATCGCGGGAGGCGGGCAATTAATTTCCCGGAGGCTGCCAAGAGCGATCCGGGGCTGCTGGTGCAGCGACGAGCACAGCCCGTGGCTTCTTCCTCGCTTGGGCTTTCAGCCGCCTGCAGGAGGGAACACCATGCCGAAGAGAAAGGTAACGCCGGAGCCTCGTTTCCCCTTTTCAGATCCACATCGGGGAGGGCTAGAAAAATAAGACAACCCCCCCCCCCCCTAAAATTAAGGTAGCAACCCTCCCCCGCCAGCCTTTCGCCACCCGCTGACTGCCTTCCAAGTCACGGGCTTGATTTCACTTTGGGAGGCCGCGGCAAGATCTGTCTCTAACCCCCCCCCCCCACCTTAACTGCCTGTTGCAATAAAATAGGGCGCTAGGTTCTCGCGTTCTGCAATTTAACGCGGCCGCATTTCCATTCGTACTCTATGCGGTTGCAGCGGTGCGCACGGCTTCGGGGCGCGCGGAGAAGACCCGTCACTCGGGTCGGTGTCAGTCTCCGCAGGCCGTTCTCGTTCCCAGGAACGTCAAGAGCGCTTGGCTCTCCCCCCTTCACCCCCCGCCGCCCATACTCTCTCTCACACACACACACTCACTCTCTCTCTCTCTCTCACACACACACAAACACACACACACACAATCACAGAGAGAGCGAGAGCTGGGCAGAGACTGCTCGCCCTTCTTACGCCCCGGAGGAGAAACGAAGGGCTTGCAAAAAACTCTCTCCGCGAGCAGCTCTGGGCAGTGTGTAGCTGGGGGAGTGTGTGTCTGTGTGTTTGCGCGCGTATTTACGAAAGGAACGCTCCGAGAGTTCTCTTTTCCCCCCCTTGGTGGTGGGGAACTCTTAGCTCGGGCTCGCGCGCGCCTTTCTCGAGCCGCCCTGGGGACGGTGTGTATGTGTGTGTGCGGGGGTGGGGGGGCTGCTAAGGTAACCTGAGAGCGCGAGGGGGCGGAAAGTAAAGGCAGGGAAGAGCCATATTTAACTACCCCGCTCCCTGCTTTCCGTAGTGGCAGACCCATCTGTGCCAACTCTCGGGTCTCTCGGGGCCGGCGGCTGATGAGGCTGGGCCTTTGACCGTCACATCTGAGGCGGTGGTGGCGGCGGAATCCGATGCCAAGGCAGCGGCAGAGAGTTTCTGAAGAGCCCCAAGGGCTCCCGAGGAAGGCAATGGGGAGGAGCTTTGCACCTTCGAGACGCGAAGGAGCCGCTGCAAGAGAGAGAGAGTTGCATGAGGCCGAGACGTCTCTCTTCCTCCTCGCCGTTTCCTTTGCCTTTCTTTTTCTTCCTCTGCGGAACGGCTGCTGGATTTTTCAGCGACTTCTGCGGTTCTTGTCTCTCCTCTCGGCTCCAAAGATAGGGATTTCTGCTCTTGGTCACATTTGACTGGGATAAATAAAAATGTCTTTTTTTTCTGGCTTCGGGTGTATAAATTGAGAGGCAATCTGATTGTAAATTCTAACTTGCATCTGAAGTTGAAGTCGTCAGAGATTATTCAACCTCGTGGTAGATTCTGAAAAGAGTGAGAGGTGCTTTGTATGGGGTTAAATGGCTCCCACAAATGTGCTGGGAGAAGTTGAGAATGTGGGGTGAAGTGTACAAGTCCTTAATTAAGTCGACTGGATGGATCAGTCATTCCTGCAAAGTCCAACCTATCCCATGGAGTTGTTACCAGTAAAAAAAAACTGAGTGGAAATTGTGTGTATGCTGACAGAGTTCCTGGAGAAAAAGCAGGATATGCATCTAAAAAAGATAGGAACCCAGGAAGGTAACTGAAGGTGTGGTTTATTCAGTTCAAATTTAGAGGAGCTTCTATAATCCCTTGTGCTGCAGCTGAGATTATAAATTCCTAAGAGTAAGGATTAGATGTGCTTGTAATAAGGGATATAAAATTTAGTGTCTTCCAAAGCTTTGGGATTTTAATTCCAGTCAGTCCCAGCCAACATGGCCAAAGACAAGGCTTTGTGGGAGTCATCCTCCAAACCTTATGCAAGACCTTGATGTGCGAAGCTGTTTTTGGTGTCCACTGTGAAATGTACCGTTGTGGGCACTGATGGTTCTATAGAACACTAACAAAAAAGCAAGCAACAAAATTGCACCCCAACTGACTATGATGGAAAGATAACTGTTTTGCTGCTTCAGAGAAAGAATAAAAATAAATTTGCACAGCTACTTCTTTATGGATTATTAGACTTTTAAGAAGTTGAACTGATAAAAATACCTAACTTTTGTACTACTAATTATTTTATCTACATAATGCTTTTCCTTTAATTTTATATTTACATATTCTCCACTACAGTAATTAATACAACACAAAAATGTTGTTAGGCTAATGCCACTGAAGGAATAGCAAAAATTATGTATTTCATTTCTGCATGATTCTTATGGAAATATATTTGTGTGCCATACTGGATATAAAAGTGAAATAAGTGTCATTTTGACTAGCAATCCAGTGTTTTAAGCTTCCTTTAAATAAATACTACTACTAAGCTGCTTATTGGACTTTAAATAGTTGTAGAAGGAATTTCATCTTTTGTCTGAAAATATATACAGTTACCACATGTCCCTTCATAGTTACCATTGCTTTTCCCTTTGGGGAAGTGAGTTACAATTTTGATTTTTACTGGTTGAAAGTTCAAGTTAGTTGAAATATTTAAATATTTTAAGGCTAAAACCATGTGTTGCATATCTGTTCAAGATTAAGTGGAGACTTACTTCCCGGTAGATCTTAGTAAAGATTTGGCTTTCATTAAGATAGAATTTTATAGTAAACTGTACAGATTTACCGGAGACTTACTTGCATTGGATTTAGTAGATTTTTTTTTTGTATTATGATTCTTCTTGTCTTAGATTTATTTTTATCCCTGATAACCTTGTTTGCTCTCCTGTGCATGTGTGTTCTGCATATGTGTATAATGCATTTGCTCTTCTGCATATGTGTATAATGCCTCAGATATCATAGATGAGATATCGTATCATAGAAATCTAGAAATAGGTCATTGTTAGAACACACTGGATATGAAAAGCTCAAGGACTGATGGATGGGTTTATTGGATTAGAATTCTTAGAAGAAATCTTGATTCATTGTATTCTGAATTAAGATTTAGACTTGGCACACAAATGCCCTTGACTATCTCTTTCTCCTGGAAGAGTGGGAAGGGGATGGCAACTTTATTGAATCTCGGGATTTCTCATTTGTGTTGAACCAGTGGTGGATTTCAAAGAGGTTTACCATTGTTTTGGTGGGTGTGGCTTGATGGGCGTGCTTTGCGCTCACACATATTTTGTGTGTGCATGCCAAATGCGCACTTTGCCAAACGTGCAGAGGCTGTCCTACTCGCCACTTGCAATCTGTAGCTTCGGCAGCTGACGCGAGGCAATCTGCTGGCCCGTGCAAAGCAGCTGCACTTCAAAAGCAGGGAATAAAGGTCAGTATGGGAGCCCAGTGGGCCCAACAGCAGCTCAGCGGAGAGAACCAGTTCAGTCTCAGCCGATCTTTGGTGCTACTGGTATGCCAGAACCAGGACAAATCAGTAGAATAGCACCACTGTGTTGAACTCATTAATCACTAAAAAAATGATGTACTTGAAGAAGCTGGAGTCTAATTATACCACTTTATGATGGTGGTGATATTGGAAGAGATAACAGAGATTCATACTTGATTCCCTGGAATTTTTTGTAAATTTTTGCCTTCTTTCATGTGTCTCTATGTAAGTTAAGCCACTGGACAGAATCACACATTGACTTGAGACTAATTGTCAGCAGGGTATTGATGATACTACGATGTACTTCTTAGTGGATGTTTTGAGAACTTGTGCAGATTTCCAAATTATAAAGGACAGGGTGTGAAAAAATAAATTTAAGCTGAACTTTGATATGATCGATTTACTTCTGATTCTAGAAGTTGGGTTTCTGGATCCAAGGGAGATGTGTGGAAGAAGGAAGGAAGGGGAGAAAGAAAGAAAGAAGTTCAGTATTAATATTATTTCTCTTCTTTTCTAAGTTCAACTTCCATAGAACTTCAGAGGAAAGAACATTGCAGCTGGATTCTGATCTTTGTTGATATATAAACAATCGCATTATACGCATAACTTTTTCAAGGCCTTTATGCTGTACCAAGAGCTAGTCTGCAACTTACTTCCTGACTTGTGGTGACTGTTGATAGTTGATCCTAAAAGGCAGAGACTATCAACCACTTCAATGTGGTTGCTATATCTATTGTACAGTGGTTGCTATATCTATTGTCCTCAGTTGTCCTCTTTATATTTAACCTTAGTCCCATTTTCCCCCTTTTCTCTTTGACTTTCATTACCAAAGCTTGCAGATCATTTGTATTTTCAGCTAGGCTAGTAATGTCATTAGCATAAGGCAGGTTATTGATGTTTCTTCCTCCAATTTTAAAATCACACGTATCTTCATGTCTGTCTGTCTGTCTGTCTCTCTCTCTCTCTCTCTCTCTCTCTCTCTCACTGGGGTTTTGTCTGAGGACAATGCATTGCTATGAGATTCCTGTTTTTTTGGAAATATACTGTTTGATATCGTCAATACACTTAATATTCTTTGGCTTTCTTAATTATCCAGTGTATATTTTCCTTCCCATGTAGGAAATCTAATGTACATTGGAAGATGTGCTGTTTTGCTAGAAGTGTGATAATGTGTACATTTTCTTCAATATGTGTACATTTTCTTTAGTAGTGCATTGGTATGTAGATTGAATACCATACATATAAATATCCACGAAAACTTAAGAAAACACACACACACATATTTGTATGTATGTATATATCCTGGTATTTTGTTTTCTATGGGAAACTGGTCCAAATGACTCTGAGGATTTAAGGTTGCAGAAACAGGCAACCAAGCTAAGTTCCTGAAGAACCCCATCCTGTCAGTGGGAGCCCAGATGCTTCAGCGAGCGGCATCTGCATTCATATTAGTGGTCTGCGGGATTTAAAAGTATGAATTTGGTGGTCCCTGAGGTCCAAAAGGTTTAGCATACCTGTTCAAAGTTGGACTTTCTTTCTTAGTGTAGAGATGTTTTAGAAATACTTCCCTTGTTTTTCTGTGTGTCTTCCCATCATCAGTGTCTTTACAGATGTTGTAATATTGCTTCTTGTTTCTTCTGACAGCTTTCTGAAATACTTGA